CTGTTTTTATGTCCCTGAGACAAAAATCCTTTCATCTGACCCTCTCCATAAAAGGGGCTTGAGGGCCAGTGAGATGGCTCAGTGGGGAAAGGTGCCCACTGCTAAACCTGATGACCTGAGTTCAATCCCTGGGCCCACATGGTGGAAGGAGAGAACAGACTCTGAAAAGTCATCCCCTGGCACCCGCATGTGTGACATCCCACAAACACACAAATAAGTGAATAAATTAATGTAGTGAATTTAAGGGGGATGCTCTACTCCCACTACTTCCCTACGAATAGTGGGAACACTACAGGTTTTTTCTTTATTTCAAGGTAAGCACACACTATATTAAGGGACTACACTGTATTCAAGTAAAGAAGAGTTTTTAAAGCAATTATTTCTTGTTGCTGAGGTTTTATTTTGTAGTTAGCACAGTCAAGATCAAAGGAGATTACTTACAGGGAACACATGTGTCTGTTGACACAGACAGCATGAGTCCTGGCTGACTGTGTGATCCCAGCACCACTTTGCCTTAGCTCCTGTCTGGAACTCTGCACACTGAGACCATCAGTAGCTGTTTGGATCCTTACAGTGCCTTGGATGCTGTTGACTTGTGAATTGTAGGTTGAACCTGCCTAATCCAAACATTCCAAATCTACAATGCTCCCAAATCTGGAACCTTTTGACCATAGACTTGATAATTCACCTTGAAAACTCAACATCATGAAAGGATCATATGTAGAATTATCCACAGTTTATAAAGTTACCCTTTAAGCTATATATGTAAAGTGTAATTATATGAATGCTACATCTATCTATGTTTATACTTGAGCCCTACCCATAAGATATTATCTCTATGCAAATATACCAAATATTTAAGCAAGATTTAAATTCTCAAACTATGCCAAGCATTTTTGGATAAGTGGTATTCACCTTGTCTGTCTTACATTGGAAGGCACCATAGACAATATCCACTCTCTACCCAATTGTGCAAATCCCATTTAGTTGGGGCTTGTGTGGGATCTGCAAGCTAAGATGCAGGGCTGTATGTTGTGTCCTCTGGGGACTGACTGAAATGAACATGCTGGGCTTGGAAATGTGGGTGAAGTCAGTCATGACTAACAGCAGTGCCAGCGTCTCATAATCTCACAGTCTCATAGCTATGCTTAGACATCTGAGGACCTGACACCTGTCATTTATACAGTGTGTCCTTAGGAACATGGGCTCTGTGCTCAGCTCCATGTGATAAGTGCAGCTGCCTCCTATTGGCCCTGCCCAGTCCTAGTTGGTCAATGACAAAGAACAGAAGTTCAGGAAGTTTCTCTGGGGACAGCCTCTCATGGGTGCTACAACAGAAGCACTTGCCTATTCTTGCTTGACTGATCCTTGTTTATTTTGATTTTCAAATCCAGAAATTTCCACAAGTCCTCCAACAAGACCCACAACTGCAGGAAGACCCACTACTTCAGGAAGACCCACAACTTCAGGTAGACCTACAACTTCAGGAAGGCCTACAACTGCAGTAGACCCACAAGTGCAGGAAGACACCCAACTACATTAAGACTCACAACTACAGCAGGACCCATGACTACATTTACCACGGAAGACTCTGCTTCCCCATTCCCCCAAGAGCCAAGCAACGTCCAGTAATCAGGTGGAAGCAGCTTTTGAGAGAAACGATGCCCTTATTTCCATCTACCGTTTTTTTTTTAATAATAAATGAAAGTCTAGAATGTAAGAATTAAAGAATTATGTCCTTAATTACGTCACTAGCCTGTGATGGTGTCCCAGCCTTAAAATCAGGTGTGCCCTCTGTGCTCTCTCCTGCACTCCCCCGTATTCTCTCTCTCAGTGCAGTTTCTCTCTCTCTCTCTCTCTCTCTCTCTCTCTCTCTCTCTCTCTCTCTCTCCTTCTCTCTCCAAATAAAGCTCTAGAAAGGTAACCATGGCTCATGATATTTTCTAGTTCCATTTCTTTGCCTGCAAATTTTATGCTGTCATTGTTTTTCTCTGCTGAGTAGTACTCCATTGTGTACGTGTACCACATTTTGTATTTAGTGAATACAAAAATAAGTCAATAAATAAAAAACTAACCAACCACACCTGTAGGTCACAAGGTCAGGGCTACAGGAAGGCACAGAGATTTCTGGTCATAAGATTCTGCATTTAGTGCCTTCCCAGCCTCAGAGTGGGTGGAACCTGCTGAAGTCAACCCAGCCTGCATTTCAAGTTTTATCTAAAGTTAGATTGCTAGAAGCTCAGCTTAGTAGCTATTGGCTATTCAAAGATCTAAGATACCTTGAGATAACTTTGGCTCTGACCTTCAGCATTCTATCCCTCCCCCAGTAGGATGCTCTTCTACTCAGTCAAGGTCACAGTCTTAGGGATCTTGAGCTCATGTCCAGCTGCTTAGACATCTGCTGTGTGGAGAGGAGAGAGCTTCAGTCCACAGACCCTCAGTTCTGGGTTTCCTGCCATTGCCTTGTTTTCTGTTTCCTTGCATCCATTTTCACTGATGTCTCCAACACGGGAAGGTCACCGGCCGTGCAGGTGCAAGATCCTTGGACCAACCTCATCCTGACCTTTGCAGCTCTAACCTGGGATCATTGATGGTGCCTTTGCTACTGTTTGACCTTGACTTTCAGGCCCTCCTTGTCTTTGTTTGTTTGTTTGTTTGTTTGTTTGTTTGTTTGTTTTTCCAAGATAGGGTTTCTCTGTGTAGCTTTGTGCCTTTCCTGGATCTGGCTGTGTAGACCAGGCTGGCCTCGAACTCACAAAGATCCACCTGTCTCTGCTTCCCTAGTGGTGGGATTAAAGACGTGTGCCACCACTGCCCGGCGTCCTCCATGTCTTTATGCTCTTGCTCTTTGAGCTGATTCTGCCTGTGTGTGAACATGTCTTCTCGGTTGCCCCTTTGAAGGAAGCCCATGCCCACGGCCTTGCCTCATCACCTAAAAAATCTGAACAGCCTCAGTAAAGACATTCCCTCCCTATCAGCACAGGCATTTCCCAGTATACCTACCTCATTCAGGCTTCTGCCTATCAAACACCATTTCTAAGCCAGTTACTCCAAAGTGTATGTTTATCCCAGACCTTCCTCTTCTATGTGGCCCCAAATATTTAACATTGAATATTACCAAAACCCAGAATATCCCCCCCAAATCCTCGGTGGAAACACCTCCTCCCTTCTCTGCTGACATGCCCTCCCGTCATGCCCTGCTCAGGCCTGAGGAATTCATCCTCTTTAGACGTCCAGCCTACAGGAAGTCCAGTTTGCTCTGCCTTCTGGGCACACTGACAATAGTGTCTTAGTTTCATTGAGTATGTTGCCTTCTGTTGTCTCTTCCACACTGAATTCCTGCCATGGACCCTAAGGTGTCCTTGTTGGCAGCCTAGCAGTCAGAGCTGTCCCCAGAGGGCACCAGGTCCTGGCACCCCTAAACCACAGCAAAGACTGTGTCCTTGTGAAAGGAGAGACCTCAAGAAGTGTCTCCTGAGTCCCATACCCAGCCTGGCCCTTCATCCTGTGCATTGCTGTCCCTCCCTTTACCCTCCCCTGCCACAGGCACTCTCCAGCATCTGGACCTTTGCCCTCCCTCTTTCTTCTCCTGTGACATCTCTCTCTCTCTAGTTGGCCTCATCTTCTTCAGCTTTGCTCACATCCCACCTTCTCTAGGAAAAGCATTAGAAAGTCCATGTAGCCTGGCAAACCAAGTTCAAATTGCACCCACCCCACCCCCCTCCATCCTACACTAAAGCTCCCACAGCTTGCTCTCTGCTGTCTGTGTCTTTCCCCTTGGTTCACTTGTTCATCCAAGAGGAAAATGGTTAAGACTGCTGTCTGTCTGCAGCCCTCCTCCTGTGTGACTGAGGGTGAACTCTTTAACCACTCTGAGCTACCTGCTGAATTAATTATTTAATGTATTTCTTAACATATTACTTTTCAACTTAAATACAAGCTTCATGTCAGGCCGTGGTGGCATATGTTTTCAATCCAAGCACTTGGGAGGCAGAGCCAGGTGGATCTCTGTGAATTTGAGGCCAGCCTGGTCTACAAAGCAAGTGCCAGAAAAGGTGAAAAGCTTCACAGAGAAACCCTGTCTCCAAAAAAACCAAAAAAAAAAAAAAATACAAACTTCATGAGATCAGGGGTCTTTGATTCCCATATATATATATATATATCATGTGAAGCAGAAGCCTTCTCAACTCTCAGATTCTCTGGAGGTGGAGTAAAGGGTGGTTGTGACTCACCTGAGGTTAGTGCTGGGAGCCATACTCCAGTCCTCGGCAAGGGTGGTAGACCCTCTTTACTGTGAGCCATCTCTCCAGTCTCAATATCAGCATTCTAATGTGAGTAGGAGGTGAAGGGAAATGGCTGGCTTACATGGTAAGCAGAGTTGGCAGAGGACTCTGGGACATTAGGAGACCATTTGGAGGGGATTTCAGGTTATGGATAGAAGCTTGAGAATAAGTGGCGGTGTTGAGGAACAATGGAGTGATTCAGTGAGTACCTAGTAGTGCAGGGGGCCAGTGAGTTCTTGCTTTGGTGAAAATAACATGAACTGAAGCAGTTGAACTGTTTCAGAGAGGGCAGCAGAGGCTCAGTTGGGGTGTGTTTCGGCAGTGTGCTATCCTCATATTCCTACAAGTGAAGCTCTTTAGTAAGGAACTGGGAATTCTGGTCTCATACCTGAGTCCTGTCATCACACAGTACTCCCCTGCAAGTGATGAGTAACCTTCAGAGGATGCCAAAGCTGACCCTAATATACAGTGACTCAGGAAGACTGCAAAGCTCTAGTTAACAAAGAAAAATTCCATCATCCTGACAAGGCTCAGGGATCAAGGTGCTTGGCCGACCAGATACACGAGTTAATCCTGGAATCCTAATAATGGTGGAAGGGGAGAAACAACTCTGATAGTTGTTTTCTCCTTCACATGAGCACCATGGCCTGCACACGTTCACAGGCAGTAGTAGAGAGTTTATGACAAGAGTAATAAATAAATAGTAAGAAATTCCACTGGGTTATGTCCTCTGTGAACATTAGGGCACAGTGACTGGTCGTGTGAGAGCCCATGGGCTAGTGTGGGGAAATCCACCCCTAAGGATTTGTGGTATTTAATGGCTCAGCTCCTCAGCTCACATCTTCATCCTTTCCTCACTTCTGATATTTTTTGCCTTTCGCCTGTCTCCCTTAAGCTCTTAGCCTCTCCTGTCACTGACTTTGGTTTGCTTCTTTATATTTTTCCTTTTTTATAGCCCAGGCTAGCTCAGAATTGCCAGTCCTCCTGCCTCAGTCTCTCCAATGCTGGGATTAGAGAACTGTACCACATGTTGCATTTTCCTTTATTGTTAGGGTCTTACTCTATAGCCTTGTCTAGCTTCATACTTACTATGCAGACCAGGCTGCCCTTAAACTAATGGCAATATTCCTGCCTCAGCATTATGGGTGTTGGGATCACAGATAGGATCCATCACCCCTGACTCTCACATGTCAATTTTTAAGGTAATGCCTCCTATCCTCTTACCCTGCTAACCGTGAATGATGAAGTCATCTCTCCATATCCTTAAATTTTCATTTGTTCATCTCTTCTATCTACACTTAAATTGCCTCAAAGGAAAAGATAACCTACAGTTGAGTACCATCCAGCAGTGCAATCATGTGCAATATCTTAGTGATTAAAATCAAATTAGATGGAAAAATAAAGTAAATTTTACTCATCTGGAGGCTGGAGAGATGACTCAGTTGTTAAAAGCTTGTACTGCTCCTCTAGAGGATGTATGATCTGTTCCCACCATCCACATCAGGTGGCTCAGAACTGCCTGTAATACTTGTTCTAGGGCATATGTCTCTGGATTCAGCAGGGACCTACACTCAAGTGCACATAGCCACACAGAGACATATATAATTTATGATATAAGAAAAGTAAATCTTTTAATTTTTTTTCTCAATTTGCTGGATATGGTGGCACATACTTTTAATCCCAACACTTGGGAGGCAGAGGCAATAAATCTGTGAGTTTGAGGACATCCTGTTCTACAGAGTGAGTTCAAAGACAGCCAGGGATACACATAGAGACCTTGTCTCAAAAAAAAAAATTTTTTTTACTCACTTGTACTAACCACATTTTATGTGCTAAATCAGTCCCTGGTGGCTACAGCACTGCACAGAGCTCATACATAATGACAACCTCATCAGAGAAGGTTCTGACTGGACATGCTGGCACACATCTGTAATCTTAGGCTTCTAGAGGCAGAGCCAGGAAGATTGTCATGAGTTTTTACTGGAACTTTTAGTAGTTGAGATGGACTCAAGTGTTCTCCTCAAGCATCAAGTAGAGACAGAAAATAAAAGGATTTCAAGCCACCAGCAAGGTGCTTACTCCATAGTAGACCTCACCTAGTTACTCAGTTGGATTCCAGGATGTGGAGGTTTTCTTCTGATAGCTATTAAGCATCACTGTCTGTCCCTTCGTTTTATGAGTGAGTAGGCCATAGGACACCCTGTGAGATGGCTCAGTGACAGTGAGCATGTGTCAAGAAGGGAGCCACCAGTGTGAGATAGTGAATGCCCAAGTACAGGATCCTTTCTCAATAGAACTCTAAAGGGACAGAACAGGCAAGAGTGAGAACACACGCATTCATGTGATAGATAAGTAAGGGTGAGTGCATGTGCATGCTTGTGATGGACAAGTTAAGGGTGAGGACATGTGCATATATGTGATGGACAAGTAAGGGTGA